AATTTGGTACTGTGATGTGATAAACAAGACTGTCAGTATCTGTGTAGAGTAATTTTGCAGAATCACTGAAAGTCTCGTTAATGTAATTGTAATGAAAGTCATATGTTATTATTTTTGATATGTCTAGAATAGTGAATCCTATGTAAATGGGTTTGTTAAAGTATACCTTTGTTTTATTCATCTCAATAATGACCATATCTTTATCGAATATGGTGCAACTATGAAAGTTTGGTTGAGCAATTAAATTTTTCGCGCAATACCTTCCCTCCCATTTTGTTATTAATCTAACATCTTTGTGTTTTCTAACATTTTCCATTGTCTTGCCAAATACAGAATTGTTCATTAGCTTGTAAAAATTCTTCTCAAATTCATTACTCGATTTTTTTCTAAGCTCGGTATTTAAATCAATGTAGGGTTTTAACCACTGCTTTTGCTTAAATTTTAAAACTCTATGTATTTTAGTTAATTTCATTCCCAAAGATAAATATAGCTTTAAATTTCTATAGTGAATTGTATAGTTCTTCTTTGGTAATAAATTTGGAATCAATTTAGGAATTTTACATTTTGGGAGAGGAGGTATGAAATGTTCAGGGCATAAGGGCAAGTCTTTATGTGAATCATGAAGTTGAGTTGGATAATCTAAATCTACTTCAAGAATATATCCTTCTGAAGAATCATCTGGAATATTTAGGAAAAAGTCATTACTATAATTTTCTAACCATTCAAAATCTGTATATGGCAAGCTCTCGCTCATAGAAGCACCATACTGATTATTTATATCGAAGTACATTATATAAGATTTTGGTATTAAGGGATTAAAATCTTTTTCCATAAATCTATTATTAGCTTTCGCGTATCTGTTTGAGCATTGTGAAACACCACCTCTAATTCCCTTTTCAATAAAAAGCAACATTTCTACATCTGTCAACAAATCAAGTTTTATGTCTGTGTACTTGAGCATAGCGTCAAATGCCAGTCCTGGGGCAGTATAGTAATGTAACGCGTCCAAGTTATAAGTTGTAAAACAGGTTTTTCTAAAATTTTCAAAAATGTCGGCAAGTAGTAGAACGTCAGTCTGTAAATACAAGTCAGAGTATTCTCCTATTGTTTTTAAATTAAACGTTTTCCATACGTTACAAGCATGTTCATAGTCTTCGTCTGAAATATAAGCGTCATTTAATTTAGAGTAGAAAGAGTCTTTTACTGGCAATTGTCCTTCTTCTAATTTTTCCCAGCTACTAACATATTCGTAAGGAAATATTCCTTTTCTTGTCAATAAATTAAACTCGTCCATATTTTTACAATACTTTTTAGTAATTTTTTTCTCATCATTTTCAAGATAGGAGGATAATTTGTCTAAACTGCTGGGCATAAATCTAAATGAATCCAGAAATCTTAATACTACTTTTGTGCCTTTGACATACTTTGAAAATGAAATGTACTTTTCCTTGTTTATTGGTAACAGTTTCATTTCACCCTCAAAAGACGTTGCTAAAGCTTTAATAATAAAATGTGCATCATATCCTGACAAGTTGTGAAAAATTATGGGAACAACATGCGAATCTTTATAATTTACATTGCAACCTTGATGTGCTGGACCACGATATTTTCCCGTGAAATGACAATGGTCGCGGTGTTTAATGTCATCATTTTCAAAAGGTTTTTCACAAATATGACAAACTGTTGCTGTATCAAATTGAATTTGTTGTAAAATAGTTAAATTTTCCATTGGAATAATATTTGTAAAATAAGTATTTGCTTTTTCAGCCAATTGTTTTAATTCAGCCATGAACCAATCAACACAATCTGGACCTCGATATGATTTAAATTCTGAAAGAGATTCGTTAAAATTGCAATGTACATAGAAAGCAAAACTTGTTGGGATATGTTTTTGGTATGTTGATGTGTTTGTGTGTGTACTTGCTATAGGTTCTAAGAGACTTTCAGTGTCAGCATACACGACAAAGGGAACACTTTCTTTATTTCTGTAATTTTTAAATTTTAAAATTTTATTCTCTTCTTCAGGTAAAATCACTCGACATATGTTTATTTTATCACAATCAATTTTATGATTATTAAATGATTTTTCATATTTAAAATGGCATAAACACCTATCACAAAGTAACGTTCGATTATGATCTTTTGTTATTTGTGAACTTACTAAACGAGATAAATTATTGATTAATGCAAAATGATAAACTTTGTTAATTTGAAAATTATTATCATCATCATCGTCTAAATCAAGTTCTGTATTTTCAATCATTAATAAGTGATAAGTAGGTTCATCTGATTTGTTTTTACTTAAATAAAGTGGAACAATTTCATTCTTTTTATTACTGCTTTTATCAATTCCGTACACATTAATACTTAAATTGTTTAATTTTTCAAATTTTGGAATATCGCTGAGAGAAATGGGGAATTCAAAATCATCAAACTTTAAATCAGTATCTTTAAAGTGAGGATATGAACTTGTACGTTCCTTATTCTTTACAACTTGATAACGTTGTGCAATGATGGACCATAAAAAACAATGTTTGTCATTATTTATAACATTAATAACAGCTCTTTTATCAATTATAAATTTTGGCATTCTTATAAATGTTGAGTATCCAGCCGCAAGAGGGACATATTTATTTATATTAACACTTAAATTTATAATTTCATTTAAAGACCAACCTGACTTTTTTTGTTGAAAATCATCAATCTTAACAAAAAGTTTTTCACGAATTTTATGATCAAACCATTCATCAAAGTTTGTTGATTCTAAAATTTTTGAATTTCTAGTATTGAAATATTTAATATCTTCAATTTCCTCACCTTCTTCTAAAACAGTATAATTTGCCGCAAGAACAACATTAACTTTCATGCACCCCGGTGGCATTGATGAGTTAAAAGTGTACCAACTGTTGAAAGTTGACACCGATGGCGCCAGCTATGCACAGGCCCTGTTTCAATTAAAATACATGGGATAATGCATAAAAATTGTATTTTCTTTAACTGAAATTAATTCAATCATATTTTTTTTACATGAAATGAATCTAGAAACTTTTAAACATATTTTGTAACAATTGTTACTTTATTAAAGCGTGGAATAATTTATTTAGAACGAAATTTCTACCTAAATTTTTGGCGGGATTTTCAAAAATATGTAAGTTTTTATAATTATTAATAATTATTTTTTAATTTACTACTATTAATATTTTAAAACTATATTGAGTAGATGAGAAATAAAAAAATTTATAATAAATAATAATAATAATTAATATTTTTTGAAATTCCCGCCTAAAACTGAGATGAAAATTTCGTTATAAATTAAATATTCTACTCTTTTATAAGGCTATAACTATCAAAAAATATGTTAAAAAGTTTCTATATTAATATTGTGTACAAAGAAATACGATTTAATTAATTTTAATTAGTGAAAATTTAATTTTTTTGCAATATCCCATGCATTTTAACTGAAACAGGGCCCGTACATAGCTGGCGCCAGCTGGTGGACACTTTCAGCTCTCATGTCTTTTCATACAATGGAAAAAATGAGCAATGCCACCGGGGTGCTTTCATGTTTCCCACCTTTTTAAATGCATTTTTTAATCGAGAAATAATCATTTTCTTTGCATCACTGAGAAAACTATCCATATTTTTATGTTTTAAATTAATAACAACACCTGTTCTAATTCTATTCTCGAAAGCATTCTCTAATTCTTCCCACCTGATCCATCTCTCGTCCTTTTTAAATAAACCAGTTCCTGTTCTTCTTAGTTTCTTAAACTTTCTGCTATTTGCTTTCAATAGTCCAATAGTTGACAAAATCTTTTTTTTCTCTCCACATGACACAGATCCATTTCTTAACAATTTATTCAGTAATCTAATGTTTTTTACACTATTATTTATCCAAAAATTTAATTCCTCTGTTGTAGTTTTTTTACTTAATGTTTTAAAAGCATTGTTCATAATTTTCACAAAATCTTTACAATAGTTAGAGCTTTTATCAGTTTCCATAACTTTACTTGCTGCATTTAATTTATCTAAATTCATTTTTATCACTTGTATTAAATGTCAATTTTTTCACTACAATGATTAACTCCGATCAGACTAAAATTAAACTTTTAACTATAGCGATTTTTTTAAAACGAGATTTTTTAAGCGCACTTGAATTTCACGATGAAATTCTGATATGTTGATTGAACAACTTAAACTGCAGGAATGGTTTTGATAAGAAAAATTGCCTTCTTTATATACACAGATTATGACTAATTTGATTTCAAGTTAATTATGGTTTTCTTAGATTTGTGGTAAAAAACAAAAACAGGAAATACCAATGATAATGAGTCATCAACCCTATTTTGCGAAAAACAAAGAGATTATGTGTCAACGTTAAAGAATGCACCCTGTAAAAAACAAAAACAGGAAATGAGTCATCAATAAAAAATTCCAAAACTCTGAGTCATCAACCCTATTTTGCGAAAAACAAAGAAATTATGCGTCATCGTTAAAGAATGCACCCTGTAAAAAAACAAAAACAGGAAATACCAATGATAATGTGTCATCAAATTCTAGGATTGTTTTATAATTCCAAGAAATTAGATAAATTCCAAGAATCACATTTGCATCATGATCTCAATATCCCCCCCCCGAAAATTCTAGGAAGTATGACGTCATATCCAGCTAAGCATAACAGTCTGAATATCCCCCCCCCACAAGGGTTTGAGTCTTGGCTAAGTGGTTTGAGTCTGGGCTAAAAGTGTCGGTAACATGTCGGTGCAGGGATCTTGAGTTAGAACGCTCCCTGTTTACCTACTGATAAATTAATAGACGTAACGATTTTACCAAATCAATACAAAAGAAGAATTTAATTTATTAAAAACCTTTTTCTCTTAATTAGCAATAAAAGGATGAAGAATATTCGGTACTGAATTTAAAAAAAAATAATATTGCTTGGTTAAAGAATTTGATTCCGCGTTATAGAAATTTTGAACAGAAAAATTATGGCGTTTCAGATCCCCGTGTCAGAGAAGTGCCTTCAAGAAAAGGTTGGAAAGTGTGGCCCCCTTAACGTATTTACCATTCATTTAATAACGACTTGTTTTACGCTCCTCTAATGAACTTTATTGATTATGTTAGCTTATCACATTGTCCTAACAGTGTCCTCTATTACAAACTGCTTCTGATTACTTAAAAAATTTGTATTATTATTACTTTATAACCGAACGTGACACAAGAAAAAGAAACTGCTGACCAGGGTTGTTTGATTGAAATCAAGATTCATATTCCATTATTCCATAATTATATAGCTGACGATTCAAAACCTATTCAATCACAATATAATTCATCAATAATAATTTTTAAAATGAATTCTTTCACTGTTTCAAAAATATCTATTATTAATAATAATAATTTGGTTTTACTAATTTTAGGTATTATTTAAAAATCATGATTTTCATCAACCCTGTTATCGTTGCATTCACTATTGTGAATTTCTTATTTTCCACCGACAAATGAATTTGATTTTATCAATTAATTCAAAATTTAGTTATTCGTTATTAATTAAATATACCTAATGGTAATTGTATTTTAGATTTAATGTAGTTATTTTCAATTTATATCTAAATAATAATTATAAAGGATACTAAAGTTTACAGGTCTCGGATAGTATGACTTTTTGGACTTTAACCAACTATTTTCAAAAAGACAGGTTTATTTAACAAATTTTCAAAAAATGCTACTTTTTCGACTGTTTTTCTAAATACTGCAACAAAATACTACTTTTTTGATATAAATTGCAACTTATTTCGATTTTTATGGTGTGAAAAAAACTATAATCAAATCTTTTAATTACAAATTTTGAAAAGAATTAAAATCTCCAAAATTTTAATAAAAAATCTTCAAATGAAAATTACTGAAAATTAGCTTTAAAAAATCATTTTAAAATATTTAAAAAAAAATTCATTCTTAAATTTTGTATTATTTAAATATTTACAAAATTAATTACATAAATCTTAATTAATAATTATACATAATCATAATTAGATAAGAATTTTTAGAATTATCATTAAAATGTTTGAGGAAACCATCATTTTAAAAATTTTTAATTAATATTCTCCAAAGACTTGATATTTTTTTTAAATTATCCAAAAATTATTTTAAGAAATTATGTTTCTAAAGTTTCAAACTTTTAATTGAACGACAATATTTTTAAGGTACTACTCTTTAGAATTTAAAAAATTTTTATTTTTTGTTGTTGTATTTTTTAACTCCTTATGGCTTCAGAAAACACCTCCTCAAGTATTTATAAGGGAGTTCGGTTTTGACCGTTCCTAAGTACAGTTCTCAAGCACTAATTTAAGTGAGGATTCACCTCACAATGTCTATAGTTCTCTAATTTTGGCTTATTTGTAATTTTAAAGTGTCTAACTTCAAGTATTCGGAGGAAATGATTCTAAACAGACTTTTTTTTAACTTAAACTCATATTTGCAATAGTATAAACATTTAATTCACATTTTTACCTCCCAACACGTGTTCATCAACCGCCATAGATTTATATAGTTTACCGAATCGCGTTTGACGCCATTTTTTTTCACATTAACCAATTTCATGGAAACTTTTAATTCTTAACTCTTATTCTTCTAAGTGTTTGTTCTGACAGTTGGCAAAGCCTAAAGTCATTTAAGAAGAAGAAGAAGAAGAAGAAGAAGAAGAAGAAGTATTTATAACCAATTGTAAAAAATTAAAGGAAATTTTTCAAAAAATATTCAATTAATGTCAAAAGTCATTGACAAATTAAGTAAGTCTTTAAGGGGATGGTGGGGTCCAGCTTTTTGTTACGACCAGTAGAAACATTCGACTCTATGAAAAAACATGCCATCACTTTTTCAATCATATCTCGGAAATAAAAGGAAATACAAAAAAAACTTTAATACGGTTAGAAAGCTGATTAAATTTTGCGTAAAATAAGCCATTTTTGAAGTCATTTCGTTAACTATTTTTTGAGTTGTAGAGTGAGAAAGAAATAAAAAAAATGATGAAATTTTCTCATTTTTGTCTTTTGACTTCAACTTTTTCAAAAATCTAGAAAAATTTAGATAAAATTTTTCTAAAAACACAGAAATCTTCGTTAGAATTTCAGTCTTCGATATATCATTAAAAATGTGAAGCCGTGTTTCGACCGATTGTTGCATTGAAATTAAACTGTGACGACTCGATTCTGGCTTCGCGCGGCAGCAAATGAGAGAGAAAACAGGGACGAATTCATGCGGGGGAACGATGAACTTTCGAGTTTCTTTATATTACTCGTGAAACATCATTATTTATTATTCTCCAGCATAAATTCGTCCTTGTTTTCTCTCTCATTTGCTGCCGCGCGAAACCATCGAATCGAGTCGTCACAGTTGAATTTCAATGCACCAATCGGTCGAAATACGGCTTCACATTTTTAATGTTATATCGAAGACGGATTAACCTTTTTTAATTTTCGAAGGCATATTTTAAAGCTGAAATTCTAACGAAGATTTCTGTGTTTTTAGAAAAATTTTATCTAAATTTTTCTAGATTTTTGAAAAAGTTGAAGTCAAGAGACAAAAATGAGAAAATTTCATAATTTTTTTTATTTCTTTCTCACTCTACAACTCCACAAATAGTTAACAAAATGACTTCAAAGATGGCTTATTTTACGCAAAATTTAATCAGCTTTCTAACCGTATTAAAGTTTTTTTTGTATATCCTTTTATTTCCGAGATATGATTGAAAAAGTGATGGCATGTTTTTTCATAGAGTCAAATGTAATCGTCCTGATACTCGTGGACGGTAGTGTATGTAACAGTGTCTGACATAAAAAAAAATGGTGGGGTTTCAATTTGCAAAAGAATTTTAGGTAATTTATGGATGGCCTCTAACGATACATATGTAAGTTTAAACGCGTTTTTCTCAAAATAACGTTTCCTCAAATTGCGGACAGTTTATCTCTGAATCTACTGAACCGATTTTTATAAATAATAACTCGTTTTGTTTGTTAGCATGTTCTGTGTGAGAATTCACCAGAAAATGGTCAAAAAATTAAAAAAAAACATTTTTGCAGACTAGAATAATACTGAAAAACATAGTGTATTATGACAAAAATTATTGAAACATCTTCTATTTTTTTATTTTAGTCCATTTTTCATTAATGGTGGTGGATTTCTATATGCAAGACACCTTCCTTTTTAAAAAGCAGTTTGGATTTTTTGTTTTCGATTTGTCAATCTTGAGATAAACTGTCCGCAATTGGACAATTAACTTTTTGGAGTTTCGATCTGGATGCTATCTGCAGATTATGATATTAAATAAAAATTAAAAACAAACCATTATTTTTATTCTCCAAATATGAACTAATATAGGCAAAAAAGTTGTTTAAATATTTATAATAAAAGACCTAAGAAAAAATTTTTTAAATTTGGTCTTTTAAGACCTTTTAAGACTTTTTTCTAAAGTGTAGTAGTACCTTAATAGATAATAATTACCCAAGTGCGAAATGCCAAGACTGCAAAAACGGCCCATCATTGGTGCAGTAATGTCTGCCGAGAATTGGCAGTAGTTACTGGGCCATTATTGGTAACCAAAACGTCCCATTACTGGGCCAATGATGGTGCCGATGGTCAGAATTTCAAATTTTTTAAGACTGGGCCAGCTCTCGGCCCAATAACGGCACATTCATGGCAAAGTTTATCAATGTTTAATGTCAAAAGACAATTGCCAGTGATGTGCCGACCATCGGCCCAGTAATGGCTCATTATTGGCACTTTAATGGCAAAAAATTTGTATCGTTCATGGCAAATTATAATTACCAGTATTGGGGAGTAGCTTGGCTCAGTAACGGCATAATATTGGCAAAGTTGATCAATCTTTAATGGCAAAATTCAATTGCCAGTGATGTCACGAAGATCGGCCCATTAATGGCACATTAGTGGCACTTTAATGGCAAACATTTTGTATCTTTGATGGCAAATTATAATTGCCAGTATTGGGGCGTAGCTTGGCCCAATAACGGCACGTTATTTTCAAAGTTGATCAATCTTTAATAGGAAAATTCAATTGCCAGTGATGTGACGAAGATCGGCCCATTAAAGGCACATTAATGCCATTTTAATTTGGTATAATTTTTTATAAGAATTGAAATTTAAGAAACATTCAGGTATTCAATAAATTATTTATTTTGTATTTAAATAATTGAATAAGCTTGAAAAGGATTCAAATTAAAATATTTGAAACTTTGAATTTTCTATATTTTTAACTGTCAATTTTAAAGAATTAATTTTTTTGAAAAAGTTTAATTAAGTATTAATTTAAAAAAGAAGTTATTAATGTTTTCATATAATTTTACAATTAAAGAAATTCGTGAATAAATGTAACAGAAACCTTTTTTTGAGTAAAATTTTTCCTTTATTATCTAAAAATTAAGAAATTTTCAATTTCACTTTCAATTAATATTTGCAATTGACAAATAGAATTTATAAACATTTTTTTCCTTCATTTTTTAAAAATCTTTGAATTTTTCTTAAAGCAATTGTAATTAAGAAATAGAAATGATGCAAATTATTTCCTTAAGAAAATTTATTGAATAAATGAATGTTTTTTAAAATTTAATTCTCATAATTCAATTTTAAGAAACATTTAGTTATTCAATAAATTATTTATTTTTGCATTTAAATAATTAAATTCTCGTAGAATTTTGTAGTAAAAATTGATTTCAAAATGGATTCTAGTCAAATTTTCAGATAATAATTAAATATTAAAAATATACCATGAATTATGATATTAAAATTTTTTTAAATTCAATCGCCAATGATGTGACAAAGATTGGCCCATTAAAGGCACATTAATGGCACTTTAATGGCAAAAATTTTGTATCTTTAATGGCAAAATATAATTGCCAGAATTGGGGCGTTGCTTGGCCCAATAATGGCACATTCACGACAAAGTTGATCAATCTTTAATGGTAAAAGACAACTGCCAGTGTTGTGACGAAGATCGGCTCATTATTGGCACTTTAATGGCAAA